CCTTACTGACATAAATGAACATTTGCACGATATTCTAATTTTTCGAGTTTCACCTGTATTCCTGATTGTGTGCCTGGTTACTCTCTTGTAATCCCTTCCTCTCCAATTTCTCTGCTCTGCAAGAGGGGGGAGAAAAACAGCAGGTCAGGCTCAGGACAATGTGTATTACTATAATGGCGATCACATGACTGAGGGACAGCACCATCGTAACTTTGAATGGTTGCTGAACAAGGCAGTTGGTAAGTGAGGACTACCTATATGCTAAGCTCTTTCAATTAAATTCACAAGCAATGGTCTAGGGTCAACAAAAAACGTAACTAAAACTTTGTGTTATAAGACTTTCCCACTCTCTTCAGCCCAAGACTGGGGAAACCTTTTAAATAGCATAGGAATTAGAAGGGAGAACTATGGAAAACAAAGGTGGGAGAGTAGGTGTGAAAAATGCTATGGTCATTTTTAGGTCATTAAGTCAGGAAGCAGACACTGGGACCATGGAATTTCATATGGCAAAATGCCTTCTTTGTGGAATCTATCACAAAGTTCTATAACAGTTAAATAAATAAATAAAGAGAGAGAGAGAGAGAGAGAGAGAGAGAGAGAGAGAGAGAGAGAGAAAGGGGGGGAGAGAAAGGAAGGAAGGAAGGACGGACGGACTAAACACTTACATTTAGCAACAATGGTATCTATAAAGCCCATTGTAAACCGGAACAAAATGAAATTGTGCAGGTGTTCTACCTAGTGTGATAAAAAAGTGGAAAGTTATGTCAATATATTTTACATATGGTACTTAAATGATGGATTAAAAATAACTTTGCATTTCAATCAGTCTTTATTAAGGTATATTTATTTTATTGGGAAACAAAAAATAAAAATGTTGAAGCATTCTACAACACACAGGAGGTAAGTATTTATCAAAGCTGAAAATTTAAGCAGCAAGCCACTTTTGGCATTCCTCAGTTTTTTGTATTAAAAAAAAGGGTACAAACCTTTATAGGTCATAATCTTCAGAAAGCATATGGCTGATTATTGTTACATTTTAAAAATTCTTATAATTTCAAGGAAGACATCCATTTTATTCACTACTTGCATGAAATTTATATACTTTTTATATTGGATGTAAGTAGGAGACAGAATTATGAACTTTTTCCGGCAATGTAGATCATTGTGTATTGCTGAGTGTGCCCAGAAATAAAAATTAAAATAAAATGGGAAAAAATCTCATGACATCTCATACAAGAACAGAAATCTTATGAATTTGGCTCATTTTGTGTAATTTCACTGCACATGACTCTCAGGTGGTATCATGCAGGCAACAGTATGTTGGCTTGCAAGATAGTCTCTAGATTAAAGATCCTAGCTTGCATAGAATAGCATGAGCATGCTTGAGTAAAATGGGGCTTTGGTTGATTTTGCGCCATACCAAGTGTGCCAAAATTGACCAGTACTGTCCTCATAGTTAATAAAGCATGTGGCATGGATACATCTAAAGTAGCTGATCTAATCTACACCTTCTCTAACTTATGAAAAAGCATTAAGTGAAAGCTTAGAGTGACCAAAGCGATGATGGACTGCAAATCATTATTTATCAGCCTAACAAGTGGCCACCATGACATATGGAAAACTACAATCTGGAATATAACAGGGGTAGAGCATAAAGCAGCCAAGAAAACAAACAAATGGATCATCAAACAAACTCAAAGTTCTCACTCAAGGCTCCACTGACCAGGCTCAAATCTGTTCATTCCTTCAGGCACATTATGCAAAAACCTAGCTCTCTGGAGAAGGCTCTAATTCTGGGAAAGGTGGAAGGAAAGAGAAGAAGACCAACAGCGAGGTGGATAGACTCAGTCGCAATGGCCATGGG